AGGCATTGCCACCACTGTTGGAAGTCTGACCATTAACTGTCTTGCTGAAGGCAAAATAGAGAACTAGAAATAGTCAGAATTATCATTTAGGGAAATTTTCAGCTGCCTTTTTTAGGGCATTTCTGTTGTTTTACTTTTTCTATTTTTCCTTACATTTCTCTCCCCCAAACGAGATTCTATAGTATTCTGCTTGCATTAGAGGAAACTCGCATATGGTTGTCATCTACCTATATGAAGGAAAATAAAACAAGACATAGTTGCTATCCCAGGAAAATTGGATGATATATTAAAATGTTATTAATTTTGAACATGAACTGTTACAGTTCAAGAAATATGGCCTAAATGTACAGCATGAGTTGTATAAGCTTGTCTCTGAGCAATCAGTTATAGTTTGCACACCCAAGAACTCATACATTTACAGAATGTAAGCTGCCAGTTACTAATGTTTTGAGATTCTTTATCATAATAATTATTTGTTCAAGTTAAAGCTTGACACCCTTGTTTTAAAAAAATATCAATTCTAGGGTCTCTGTCCTTTAAGATGCATTCACTAGAAATTGCAATACTGCTGGAATTCAATGTTTTTTATTTGTTGGCCCTGGCAGCTGTGTATTAGTAAAATAAATAAACTAAATAAACAGTTCCAGTCACTAGTGGTTTATTGCTGGAGTTATCTGCATCGGACAGGAGGAGAAGTTCTACCAGAGGAGCTTGGCTTTCAAACCAGAGATTAGTGGAATCACTAGGAATAAATATGTAGAATTGTGTGACCTGTGGGAAATATTTCACTTGCCAAATGATGACGCTAACTAGTATTAAAGTTTGAAGTCCTCTAGCATCTATTCTGCATTATTCATATGAGTATAAATCCAATTATATTCAAGGATCTAATATGGTATCAGTCTGTATCTTATTAAAAAGAAAATCTGTGGTGTAGTTGAGAACCTAAGCCTGTAGGTTTTTTCTTTTAGTTCATTATTCTCGGATCCAGGATACCTTACTCTGTATGTGTGTGTGAATAGTATAAAAGTGTGTATATATGTATTTATGACTATATACATCATTCTTTGTGTGCACGTGGCTGTGAGTGGGACCAGATAACACACACATATGGCCATACTTGCTGTAGTCAAGGCACCTCCCTGCCTTGTTTGGATAAACTAAGCAATAAACACACTGAATACTTGTGATGCACAGAAAGTAAGACAAGGGGATCTAATAATGCCTTAGTATTGCAACTTCATGAATATCTCAGTAAACCTGGGAGAGCAGTCACAAAGTAGGTATTCCTGTGCAGGTATCCCTATGCCAGTATCCCTACCTGATAAGTTAATTTTTAAATGAATGTATTCATTTTTATTTATGATATATATTATATTTCATATATATATTATACAATATACAATTATATTTTAATTTATTCATTAATTTAATGAATTTTTTTAAAGATGCAAAGTTATAAGCTGGACACTTATAACTTGCCAATTCCATGAAAATAACTTGGGAAAGTTGTATACAGTTGTAGGGGAAAAAGTGGCAGAATGAACCAGAGTGTTTAATTTCCTTTATTGGAATCTAGAAAGTCAAATGGAAGTTGTTTATTGTGTTTGCAACCGTAGCCAAGAGTACATGCTAATAATAAATATTAAAACTTGAAGGAAAACAGAATTGAAGTTTATGGACTTATGATGATGATGATTGTGCTGTTGAAGTGCTATAGCTGTATAGTGCATAGTAGTTTCAAATGGCAAAACAGGATTTCTTTGGAACTAGTTCTGTAGTATGTCCTAAGCACTTCAGGAAATAATTTATGGTAGTTCATCTGTTTCAAGCTGGAGTTCATAAACGGGCTTCTTTTGACAGAAGTTGCTCTCTTCATCTCTTCTAGGAATCACAGAATCATAGAATGGTTTGTGTTGGAAGGAACCCTAAAGATTATCCATTTTCAACCCTCCTGCCATGAGCAGGGACACCTTCCACTAGGCCAGGTTGCTCAAAGCCCAATAACACTTGGTCTTGAACACTTCCAAAGATGGGGCAGCCACAACTTCTCTGGGCAACCTGTTCCAGTGCCTCACCACCCTCACAGTAAAGATTGTTTTCCTAATATCTAATCTAAATCCACCTTCTTTCAGTTTAAAGCCATTCCTTCTTGTCCTATCACTACATGCTCTTACAAAAAGTCCCTCTCCAGCCCTTTTGTAGGACTTCTTTAGGTACTGGAAGGCTGCTATAAGGTCTACCCAGAGCCTTCTCTTCTCCAGCATAAAGAACCCCAGCTCTTCAGCCTGTCTTCATAGGAGAGCTGCTCCAACCCTCTGATCATCTTCATGGCCCTCCTCTGGACTCACTCCAACAGGTCCACATCCTTCTTGTGTTCCCCACCTCATTCCTCACCTTCTTCTGGTTCAGTTGTAGCACTCTGAGACAATAGAAACACAATCATTCAGGTTGAAGAGATCTCTGGAGCTCACCTTGGCCAAACCCCTGCTTAGAGCAGGACCAAATAAATCAGGTTGCTCAAGCCTTTTTCTAGCCCAGCTTCAAATGTTTCCAAGGGTGGAGATTCCACAACCTCTCTGGGCCCTTGTCCCAGTATTGGACTGCCCACATGGGAAGTCATTTCTGATACCTAGTGGAATTCCCTGTTTCCTGTGTCCACTGCCTCTTGCCCTATCACTCTGCCTCGTCAATAAAAGACCAGAGTGTGCTGCTGGCTTACTCAATGTCCAACAGCATCTTCAGGTCCTTTTATGAAGAGCTGTTTTTTACCCAGCTGGCTTCTAGCCTGTCCTATTGCGTGAAGTTATTCCACCCCGACACAAGACTTTGCATTTGCCCTTTTTGTCAGCCCATTTATCCAGAGGTCCTTCTGAATAGCAGCCCTGCTCTCCAGTGTAACAGCCACGTCTTCCAGTTTGGTATCACTCAAATACATGCTGTGCATGCAATCCATCCCATCATCTGGGTCTTTAATAAAGATGTTAAACAGTATTGACTCTGATATTCATCCCTGCCTGAAGGCCCTGCTAGTAAGGGACTGCTAGTTGGATTTTGTACCATTGATCCTAGATGGCTTCCTGGGCCCAGCAACTCAACCAGTTGCAGTGTCCGGCTTCCTAGGAAAGGCAGCTGTCAGGGCCTTTCAGTGCTTATTCCTTCAATTTTAGTCAGGAGAGACTGTGCCATCATTATTCTCAAAGGCACTAGAGCGCTGTCAATGAAGAGATGTGGTTGCAGGTTTAAAGCAAGTGAGTAAGCAGGAGGTAGTGGTAGTGTGAGGGATAGCAGTTGAAGCCTAGGAAGAAGTCTCAGGATCAAAGAGGAGTAAATAAAATGGAGGACAAGTCCCATTATTGATATTGAAGAAGTACTCCTGGCACTTCTTTGGCTCTGAAAAAAGATTTTCTTTTCTGAAAAGCATACTCCTGGAGACAGAGGTTACTCAAGCTATTTTCATCCTTTTACTGTAAATATGTACTATTTGCTATTGCAGAAGATGGGATATCAGGCTGGGCAGCTCCATTTATGTGAGCCATTTTAGAGTACTTGACTCTCATCTCTTTTCACATTAAAAACATGAAATTATCAACAAGCTAAGAGGTAGTGATGTGGAAGTTGAAGGAAAGAAGGTGTTGACTTTGTTTTGATATCCAGGAGAATGCTGAGAAGGTTGGAGGTTCCCACTTCCTTTTTTATCCTTTAGAAACACTAATGTATTGCAAGGAGCTGTTAGTTCTGGGAAGTATTTTATTTAGCAGTTCTCTGAAATTTAAGCACTGAATGTCAGCCAAGTAAGTCAGATGGATATGTGTGGGTAAAAGGGATATGTGGTAATTTGAAGGAAAATGAGTGTGCCAGCAAAGGCTTCTTCAACTTTGTGTGAAGGTACTCTTCAGTTTTCAAATTATATCTTAGTCTGATAGGTAATTTCCAGTCTTGCTGCAGTGAAAGTTGTTCACTTTAAAGTATAGTGCAGCCCATATTTGGTTGCTAATTGTTTGGCATTTCTCTCTCCACTTCTCTCAATTTTGTATTACATCTGGTGTCCAAATGACATAAGTAATATATGGACATCACAGACAGAAAAATCGGGAATTGCAGCATGATATTTATTGTGTAATAAACAAATTTGATAATTGCAGGCATTTGAAGTAAAATTATAAACGGTTCATATGAAATAATTCTGGTTTTAAGGATAATGAGCTATATAATTTAGTAGCATTGGGAACTAACTTCTTTAAAAGTTGCTGTGGCTAATGCTATTCTTACAGTAATTTCGTACTGTTAAAACTCCACCAGCATTAATGGAGTTAATCCTAATTTTCATTTACATAAATGCAAAGAAGGCTCAGCCTCAGTGATTTTTTACGTACTGTTTCAAGAGTGCTCAAAATTTTGAAACTCAAAATTCCACACAAAATTCCACACAAAATTCCACACAAAAATAAAGCTCAATGCAGAGAGATCTAATTGTTCTTATTTCACATATAAATATATATGGCAAACAACAGAACAATGAAATACTGTTCTTTGACATTTTAGATTTGCAATGCTGGTTGAACATTCAGAGGCTTTTTGAGCTGTATTTTTATCAATGAAAAGTCTGTGAAACTGCTTAACTAAAAATTGGCTTGTGTTAATGTTATCCTGTCCACTAGCTTCCACAGATGAGGGAAGTACTTAACTGCCTGTATCAAAGGGAAGAAAAAAGCATTTGATTTTTAAGACATAAATCAAGTACTTCGTTTCATACTCTTTGATCGGTTTTGCTGACACAGGCAAGTAATCTGACCCCCTTTGCCATCTAATTATGAACCTCTTTCCCCTCCCTCCCCTTAGTATTGAGCTTTTATCAAGGCTAGGTTTTTTTCCCTCCCGGGAGTAGTCATGCCTCCTGCATTTTTCTCTCTGGTGTTTAGAAACCCCTTTGCAATGTTAAACCATTAGGAAATACCCACTTCTTCGAACATCAAGTACATCTTTTTTTTTGTTACTAGGCTGCCGCTCTATGGCCGTGCACATAAACTACAGCTTTAGTTCCACTGGAGTAAACTGTATTGGAGGAGTTTCTGGGAATGAGAGAGAGAACGTCTGGGCTTTATGTTCTACAATGAGAGTATGAGTACGTTAAAAGAAGACAAAGGAAAAATTTACCATTTCATGCGTAGGCACCTACCAACCTGATATTTTAAATATGTTATAGACAATGGTTTTGATCATTAATAATGTGCATACTGTAGTACACTAACATAGAATTCACCACTGCTTGTCCTGGCTGTCTAAAATAATGCTAATTTGAATTGGATTTTCAAATGAAAGTAAAAGGATAATACCTTTTAAAATACCCTGGCCAGGAAATCAAGTAGACTGATCCCTGCCTGATGTCCTTCATAAGTATGAAGTTTTGATGCTTTTGAATCTCTGGAATAACTAAATCATGGAAGAAATCAAGCTGTGTTTTAAGTGTAGAGGTTTATATGTAGCCATACACAGTGTTTTACAAATGGGTTAAAGGGGCATTAAACTTTTATTAAGAATATTTTCACTTATGCAAGGTTAGAATACACTGCCTAGTAAGTTATGATGTAAGTCACTGTTTTCACATCTGCATCTGAAAATGGAGAGGGTTGAAATTTAGCAGATCTGCCTTCTGGAGTACTGTGAGCAAGCTTTAGATTTGTCTGCTCACGAGCACTTCAATTGGAGTCCTACAGCGTTAAGACCTTTAACAACTGAAAGCTGTGTTGAATTTGGTACTATTATTTCTCATCCTTGTGCAATTTTGCATGTTTCCATTCAGAAAGTGGAATAAAAGCAAGCTTGAGATGTGTTCCTGCCTTCATTTTTAGCACACCCAAGTCGAGAGGAAAACTCCAAGGTTGGTGGACATCTAATTTCTTGTAGATGTTAACTTCTAAAGAACACAGTCCCTGGTTATGTCTTGTCAGAGACCATCAATTACTATCTAAAATATTGTAAGGTCTTCATAATTAGACTATTTTCTGTATAAACAATACCTACAGACCGAAAGCAATCTGAAAAATTGAAGTCCAAAGCAAAGGAAATTAATTTGTTCAAGTGAATAAAAGAGATCATATTGGCCAGAGATGCCCAGTAGCTTGAAAACAAGCTCAGAGTTCTTAATATGTGTTTTTCCTTTGAATGTCCTCCTGTATGCACTCCTAGGTTTGCTGGAGGGCAGAGGAGAAGGAGGATTGTTAAAAATTAAACAGCTTGCTCTTACTAAAATAAAAATCCATCTTACAGTTATCATTGATATAGGTGCTGACCTTTGGCCATGTTAGTAACTCGTTCCAGAGAATCTCTTCAGCATTTGAATATATTTTGTTAATGTAGGTTAATATTATAACAAGGGACAAATCTTCTTAGAATAGTATTTTCCAGGATACTCAGCCATAAGGCAGTGTTGTTTTCTAAACCAAGCCAGCTGTTAAAAGTGCTAATTAGTTCTGCCAAGAAGGTAACAGTGCCTATGTCCTAATAATCCAAACTGTAATGTGTATTAAGAGGCTGTCAATGCAGCAGTTATGTTCTCCCATTTAGGAATATTACAAGAAAAATTTACTATGAACAGGAGATTGAGAAAGAAGGGGAGATCATAAAACAGGATAAATTAGGAGCTCAGAAAGAAATTGGACAAGAAACAGCTTGGGTATAGGAAATAAACCAGTATAAAAGGAGAGAAAAAATTACTTCATTTTATAAAGTATTTCTACATCAGTCAGTGCAAGCAAGAGCAACATAAGAGGTGCGGTTTAAAACCATGCACTGATGTTGCAAGTGACAATATTGAAAGATAATGAAAGTGTTTTCAAACAACAGGGATGCTGATCAAATAGCTAGAGGCTGGAATGCAAGCAAAAGTGAGGTTGCCTGAAGTGTGACAGAGGCAGCACAAGATCCTCCTCTGTAGTTTATTTGTTGCAGCAGAAGCACCACGGTCCCAAGCTACCACCAGTGCTGCGTACAAATCTGCCCAGTGCTGCAGTGCAGCAATCTTTGACACCTAACACATGCAGCTGAAACTCTCAACTCGACCAGCAAGGCTAGAGAGTGAGAATTAGAGCATCAGACAGTGAGAAAACATCAACACATTTTCTTTTGGGTGGCACTGTGTCAGGTAGATGCACATCAAAATATATGTGCAGAGACGTAGAGCTAGCAAAAGCTAGCAAAAGCTAGGTCAGCTGTTGAAGGTGAATTGAACTGCAAACCAAACCAGGTCCTGCAACAGTCAACACAGTTTTTGAGCTGCTATAATAAATGGAATTGTTTCCCACACATGATGTTAATAAAAATGTCCATCTTGTACGAAGTGTTTTATTTTTTTTTTTCCCGAAACTTTTGGATAACTTTGTCACTATTTACCATAATTTTTCTCCTGTGTTCTTCCTAATGAAGAATGGTTGAAAATGCCAGTGCACTGTATTCCAAATATGGCTGCAAGAGGGCTGCAACAGGACTGTATAGAAGATTACTTATTTAGCTGAATTCCAAATATGAGCCATGGCTGTTCTCAAAATGCCACTGTTTCTTTGGTTTTACAATGGCATCATATAAGAGATCTTTCCACCTGTCTGGTTTGGCTCTGCTTTTCAGACTGTGGGTGGCAAAAACCGATATGTTTTTTTAAAACACAATAACATGCCATCAATATTTGGAAAGGTAAAAATGTCTTAGTATTACCAAGTAATCCTAATCATGAGAGAGGGACCTTCTCTTCCTTGTACATCTAAATTATTCACAAAGGGAAAAGGCCTTTAAAACCAATTCAATTTTATTGTCAAGACATGAAAGTATAAATAACTGCTTTCACCACATCTTCGTTTTCTCTTGTTCTGTTTACCAGAAATTAGTCATACAGATTCAGTGTAATTTAATTATATCTAGAATCCTGTTGTGCCAAAACAGAAAGTGTCTAGAGGACCCACATGTAGTTTTCCCAGTTTTCCTGACCTTTGCCACTGAAGACCTTCCTCACTGAACTAGCAAGGTTAGAGCCCTAGAGAGGCAGAGTTAATTACCTGCTTCTCCCATCCCTGCTGCAATGCTACCTCACTTCTCCGTATTTCAGTTTCGTCATGCATTGTATTTCCTTCCTCTCTGTTGTTGTTGTTGTTGTTGTTGCTTTGGGGTTTTGTTGGTCTTTTTACATATTTATTGATACAGTAAGATATTCAGTATAGGAACAGTGCATCTAAAGGGTCCATATGAGCTGGAAGCTCTTTGTGTCAGTATAATCACACTAATAAATTCTTCAGCTCAGATACTCTAGCTCACTTTATTTCATTAAGCATAGTTCCTCACAGCACTGCCTCCTCACTAATATTCTGTTTTAGTTGGGACGAGCAGATTAAAATGAGCATGCTGGACATCTGCTACCACCCTTGCAAAACAGTGGAGGTCATGGTCCAATCCAATTAAGAACAAAAACCTAAGGGATACTGAAGTTAGTATCCCCTTGAGCTGTCCAGAGCTTTACACTCTCTCACCTCAGATCAAGTTTTGCATTGAAATAATGTCCTCTCTTGATTCTCCTGCTTTGTTTAATTATCTGTACTGTTTGTACTATTTCTTTTAATGTTATGTCTATTAAGCTACCATTTCTTTTCCTGTTGGCTCGACTGCAAAGGTCTTATCCTGAATATGCACGGAATCTAGTACAACCTCCAGGCAGTAGTGAATCTCCAATACTGTTATTTATAAAAGATACTTTGTGGACACTGTACACACAGTAGTAAATTTATTGAAGTGTAAAGAGAAAAATGGCTCAATACAATGCAACACTTCAGGAACACATTTTGATATAGCTCTCAATCACACACAAACATGAAGTTATACTGTCTGTCATAAAAGAATTGGATGTGATAAATTCTGTGAGCAGTATATTAAATCTAAGGCTCAAAAAGCTAGCTACTTTCAAAGTACCAGCTCCAGGAAGCTGGCTAGATATCCCTTCAGTCTTATGTTTAACAAATTGCTGTGAAATTACGCGGGTGTTCTTTTCTTTCCCCTCAAAATACAGGTTTTTGAAACATCACCCTTTATTATTTTTCTGTTCACATCCCAATGGATAAATATTCATATCTCAGAATTTCTCACAGCTGGCAGAAATTGGCAATACTGTTATTTGCTAGAAAAGAGGCAAAGGACTGAAATGGAATGGCATTATTGCCCCATAAATGTGATCTCATCAAATCAATCTGCAGGTCTGGAAAATTCATAGTTCTTCCATCGAATTGCTTCAGCACTGTACGTGTTTTGTGGATAATGTGAGGACTTACATCCCTGATCCAAATCCAGCTGAAGCTGGCAGAAAGACTGATTATGATTCTTTGGAATACGCATCCTCATCTGCTGACACGTATTAAAAGAGGTGTACAGAAATACCTGTGCCAGGCTCCTGTGCCTGCTTACAACACAAGGAAAGCACTCATGTTTCTACTGTTTTTTTAAGTGAGGAGACCCAATTTTGATGTAGAAAGGATCCTGCCAAATTAAGTAAACAATGCATCAGGGCTACAGAAAAATTTGAATATTACATATCTAGAAGAAGGAGACCTGAATTCACAGCCTTAGGGGAGGATAAACAAGACTAGCTAAACCATCTCTGTACTCCTCTGATTCTGGGTTGATCAGCAGTCTGAACAGCTTCCAACTGGTGCTGAAGTTCTGGCTCTGACAGCTCTTATTTGCCATGTTCTGCAAGAGCCCTTTGGATAGACAGCCTTTATACTCCTTATGCTGCCACCAGCAAGGACTCCACGAATTGCAGAACACTCCAACTATCATAGCGGGCATAAAGTGAGTAGAGCACATCTGAAGACATTTAAAGTGCATAAGAACTACTTCACTTTTATTGAGATGTCCGAAGTAATTTCTATGAGGCTCACTTGCCTGGAAGCACTGTGCTGATACATCTCTGTTGTCACTGCTCCAGTTCATCACTGAACTTGCTCCCAAAAATAACAAAAGAAATGCCGAAGACATGATGCTGGAGGCTGTGGTGAAACCTACACAAAACTTCTTATGATTGGAGTCTGGATTATTGTGGACCATATGGGCTCACCATAAATGTGGGAGAATATTTATTATACAAAGAACAAATCCATAAACGCGAGTTTTTATTGTAGCCAACAAAAGAGTAATGTAACTAGGAGAAAGGTGAGGAATTAATCAAATATGTAGTTGGCAGCACAAAGAACGTAAGATACCAAATGTAAGGCCAGAATTTCTGCAAAGTAACATCTCAGCATGTTTTTTCATTATTTTTATTTCCTGCATTAACCTGTGAATGATCAGTGGATGCTCGGGGCATTTAGAAGCCAGAAATAAACTAGAATGTATAGCAGTTTGTCCTGACCCTCCCTTCGCTACTGCCACCCCTTGCTTCTTGTCTCTTTTGCTTCCACCTCACTATTCCTTAAAGTTGCCTTTTCCCATTAGTGATCATGTCACAGTGCTTTACCAATTAAAAGTCTTACTAGATAGTCCCTCTAAATGGTTTCTGATTCTACCATTTCTCCTGATTCCTCACTAGCCTTTAATAAAAGTGATACTTCTCTAGCCTCAGAATTTCCTGCTTGAAATAAGCTTTCAAGTAGCATGTATGTATTAGCCAGGCTAAGTGAAGACAGCCGAAGTATGAGAACTGGGAGGCCTTTTAATATAATTTTAATATATTTTTACTATAAAAGGATTAGTTTCACAAGACTCTTGGAAAAAAGACATTAGACAAATCAAAAATTGAGTCCAATATACATAATTTTTAAAGGGTTTTACTTGGTTCAGTAGAATCTGTTTGGTTTTCTTTCTGAGGAGTGCTGTGAGCTTCTGGTTTTTTTATTTCTTCTTGGCTTCTATTTGTATTCAGATATCACTTTGCACAGAAAAAGATTGCCTCTTGGAGAGTTCAGTTACACATGCTGTTCAAGTGATCCTGACAAGGATGAATGGTAATAAAAATTGTCCATCCTTTGAATGTGATTTGGATTACAGTGCAGAAATTATATGTCAATATTGGATAGGGCTGTAGGGGGGCTATACACAAGAAATATAGGGTTATATGTGAACGTGATTTGTCATTCCCCTCTTGACACCACTCACTCTACGGGTCTGTTCTTTATTTATAGGCAAGAAGCATGCTGACATTTCAATATTCCTTCAGCTCAACAGTTCAGAGTACAGTCACAGCAAGAAAAGCAACACGTGTAATCACGAATAGCTGGAGATTCATTTCACTAGATTTTCCAAGAATTTAATTTTAAATTGAAAGGTAGGCCACAATGCTAATTTTACAGGACTTTTGAAAAGGGGAGGTCAAATTTTAGGATTAAAAATAAAAATTATGAATAGTATTCATAATAAAACTGGAAAAATGGCATACAAAATTCCCTTTACATTTTAGTAGTAATTACAGGAGACAACAGATGCTGTCCTGTCATGCAACATAATGTTTTACTTTGTTTAGTTCTGGGCTTTGATTGCATTACTAGGGCCAAAAGTCAATCTTAGCTTATTTCTATGAATGATGTCTCTGTTACTGACAGAAACAGGAATGATCATGTATACACAAACAGGTGCAAATGTATGACCAAAATAAAATTCATGCTATTGTAATTAGAAGGATCAGAAGGAAAAAAAGTATTAATTGACTTAGGCTTCAGTTAATTTCATTAACATGCCAGGGCACTGTGATCATGAGCACATTAGAAATACCTTAACAGTGATGATTTTCCATCTTTCGAGCCCTATTTAAATATATTTTTTGTCATACATTAGGAAATTATGAAAATTCATAGTTGTCCCCTGAAAGTTTTGACCTGGTAATGATGCAGAATGAATACAATACTTCTGCCAGTAGAAGACTAAGAAAGTCAAAGTATTTCAGAGTAAATAAGATGGAGATTACATGTTGCAAATACAAGATATTTTGGTATTATAAGTTAGAGAGAACCTTTGCAGTCAGGCAAAAAATCACTTCCCAGGGAGAATAGGAAGTGTAATCAGGCCTGTCAGGAAGTGTAATCAGGCCTGTACATTTTCAGAAGCCTTGAACGAATTAAAAAAAAACAAAATCAGAATGGAAACATTCAAGCATATAACTTTTCCAGTTGTTAACAGACCAGGTATAATGCTAGCATATTAAACAGTCACTTTTTTTTCCAGCAAGATATTTTTCACGAAGAAACAAAAATAAAAGTCCTGATAGATTCAGAAATCTCTGGTTTCACCAAAATTATGTGAATATTATTGGGCTTCAGTTGCTAACAACTTGCAAGCTGAAGAATTAATAACCAGACTTCAGTTGCCACCATACCCTAATGAGGCTGGAACGTGACCTGCACACCTAACCATCCACCAATAAAAAAGAAAAAGCTCAAGGCTCGCTTACAACAACTGTCAAACTAAGGCATTTTCTTTAGTGCTAATCCAAAGATGGATGAGCCCTAGTGCTGCAGCAGTATATCAACATTCAGCCAGTGTAAGCACCAGAGTAAAACAACAGACAGTTTACTCCAGAAGTTCTCAATATATGTTTTCCTTTTGCTTTGAACATTTCTAATGTTTTGCCCTGGGACTGGATGATAAACCCATATTAATCCCCTTGGAAGATTGTATTTACTGTAATTGTGTGAGATCAGACCAAGGTTTTATCAGCATATTTTACCTTATCCTTTTGTACGTTTTTGCATTCCTTTCTGTCTTCAGTCATTGCTTTGCCAATAGTAATTATGTATGCCAGAGCTATCAACAGTAGAAAATTCCATATATGGCTGCACAGATGAAATGCAGAGAGTAACCCAAGCCTACGTCCTTTATATGCACCTCTCCAATCTGAGAAAAACAGAGGGTGGTCTATATAGATTTCATAGCTGAATTCTAGATCAAAAACTGTGTTTTAATTATATTTTCAATTAAATCAGAACATCTCACTTGTTTTCTCTCATCTTGAAGGAAGTCTGAAATTGTTTGTCCAGATAGAAATTTGGGGCATGATCACATCATAAATTTTCAGAATATAAAGCTGTGTTAGAACCCTGAAGGTTTTGTGGAATATAGTTGTCTCTGAGAGAGCTGCTTCAGGGCTGACAGGTTGTTCCTGGCTCCAGCACAATCCTGAACACATGGCTTTTGTAAAAGCATCCCAGAAACTGCTTCTGATACTCTCTTCCTTATTTTCCAGACCATTGAACTCTTACTGATCGGGAATTGAACACTGTAGAGATCCTTTAAACAACTTCTTGCATTTAGAGAGCATCGGGAGGAGGGGAGTTCACAGTAGATATAAAAGATTTTTTTTCTGTGAAGGACTTCCTGAATTGATAAAGTTATCCTGAGATATGCATTTAGGGAATTTTGTCCATAAAGACAATTTAGTTAGTCAATGGGAACAACCAGAAGGAGTGTAGAAAGCACAGATGAGTATTTCTGGAATTATTTTTCCCCTACTAATTCCTGTATACCACTTCCTGTCCTTGGAAACAAGAAAAACTCGTGTAAATTGGACCGAGGCCTTTTTTTTGGAGAGAGGAGGATCAGCCCATACCTCCTCCCATGGTGTAAAACCCCAGGAAATTCTACCCAGGTTTTTCTCTGCTTTTCATGCTTTCCACGCTCCTAAAGCTTTTTGTTCAGCAGCCCCTTGAAGAATGTGGCATTTCCTTTGAGCTAATGAAATTGCAACAAGCAGCTGTAAGATTTGGACTGAATGAGCTGTTTCTCTGTGAGGAAAGAGTGCAGTTTCTTTCTGGGCAAAGGAATAAATATTGTGAAGAATAAACAGTGTGAGTTGCTGTAGTCTGAGGAAGGCAGAGGTTTGGGGCAGGCTTGAAGAGTTGCAATATATTGGCACTGGGGAAGAGTAGGAGTGACATAAAATGCTACAGAAAAAAAGATGTGAGGGAAGTCTAAAAATGCTTGAAAATGATGCCTTAGGGAAAATCTGAGTTGCTTCAGTTTTCAGCTGAGAAGCGTTGTGTACAGATCTCACTCAGAGACCAGCTAGTGCAAAGCTCTGATTCAAGGTGTGAGTTTGCTGTGAGAAATTTTCCATCCATGTCAGGATTTTGCCAACATCTTGTAAAAATGCTGCTTCATCAGTCCAGACCTCGCTGGGAGCTGCAGACATTTGCAGATGTTTGAGTTTCATTTCACTGTATCACAGAACGGTTGGAAGGTATCTCTGAAAACCATATAGTCCAACTCCCCCTGCCAAGGCAGGGTCACCTAGAGCAGGTGACACGGGAACATGTCCAGGTAGGTTTTGAATGATTCCAGAGAGGGAGACTCCGTGATCTGCCTCGGCAGCCCGTTCCAGTGCCCTGCCACCCTCAATGTAAAGAAGTTCTTCCTCGTGTTGAGGTGGAACTTCTTGTGTTTTAGTTTATCACCGTTACTCCTTGTCCTGTCACTGGGCACCACCAAAAAGAGTCTGACACCATCCACTTCCACAACTGAGATAGAGGAAGTTTGATTACTGTTGCATCATCACATTATAAATTTTAACTTTGTATTTTTTTATCATATGAATCTTTTTCTTTTGAATGATACAATCCTTTGATCATACTCGGTGAAAAAATGCTGAACCCAGTGAAAGTGTATGTGTGTATGCAAAGTAATGAGGTAAAAAAATATAGGATAAGACCTCCAATGTTGCTATACTGCTAACAAAACTCAACATTGAATAATTTAGCAAGAGGTCATTGACACCAAAAGCACCAGATTGCTTTGCAGTAGCAATGTATGAATAATGTGAAGCTATTTCTGGGAGTCAGAAAAAGGAATAGTTCTGAAACTCAATTTTCCATCTATCTAAATAGTACAGATATCTCCTTGGGAGTTGTCAGCTCAGAAACTACAGTTCTTTAAATTAGTAGGTTTAACTGGAGTGCACAACTACAAAAAACCTACCAAAATATATTCTTGCAAGCATGAGTGTGAAATACATAAACCCCCTAGCTGATGTCAAGCCTCTTTAAAGCCAGTATGGAGGTCCTGATGATGAGGAGGCTTGTCATCTATTCCTGCATGGACAATTGGTGACTAGAGTAAGGGTTGTGGTATAAAATTGAAAAAGACAAGAGTGATACTATCATGTAGGATTATTTTTCTTTTCCCATTAATTGCTAAGGAGGAATGCAGGTCCTTCCTTCCTATCAGATAAATTGAAAAATAAATGTCTGAGTAACGCTGTCTTGCATCATGTTTGGCTGCCTGGCTTAAAATAAGCAGGTGTCATCCAAAATTTTTCAAAGGTCCAAGCCAAGTACTCAAAGCTATCAAATTGTTTTTTCACTCAATTTTTAATAAAAGCAAAATTGTTTTAAGAGGTTGTGTGTTGATGAATGTATGACTGAAACATAATGTCTGGAACAGATCAAAGTAATTTATTTTTAAAGTTGGAAACTCATAATATTCTATTTGTCATAGTCTATTTTGAAATTTTTAAAACTTTCACATTTAGAAAAGTGTTTTTCCATTAGCAAACACACATTAATGCAACTAGACTGTTACAACCTCATTAATATTAAATTTTGCGGCACTGAATTAGTAATTATCGTGCAAATATTTAATTGCAAAATGATTCGGTTGCTGGATATTAATGTCACTTTGTGAACACTTCTGCTAAGTGTGCACTCTGTCAGTGTTCCAAACAAGAAAAACACGACAGAATGCCTGAGTGCTCACAGGTGGGGGAAAAAAACCAAACCCAAACCAACCAACTAAACACACACCTCCAAATAAAGAAAAAACACTAAAACCAGAAAACTGGTCTTAGTATTGAACTTTTGTATTGAACTGTGAAGATTCTCTACCTGAATGTCATATATATATCCAGTGAAAGGCAGTTTACATCCACTTAAGGACAGAAGAACAGAAAAAAAAAACCAAAATCAGAGCTACTGATTCCTTTAGCCCATTTTAGTACTGTGAGAAACTCATAAATTTACTGCAACTGACAAACTTATGATCCCAGTTGACCTTTCGAAAATTCTTTAGCACTCTGTTTGCTGTCTTCTTTAAGTTTTTCCCTTGTCAGCTCTTTGCACTGAAGTGCAAACTGCAGCAGAAAAGCTGGACTCTCCTCCTGGGGTTAGCATTGTATATTCTTAGGTGTCACATGTGTCCAGTGTGATAATACTTCTTACATCATGCCATTGCCAGCTCACGTTAGCACAACATCAACACTATCCACTGATAACTCTGTGGTTATAGAGCAAACACGAACTTCAGGACTTAAACTATGAATCAATTTGGCTTTGACAGCCTCTCATTCTAAGAAGTGTTTTCCTCTGAACCAGCTCTTTTTCCTTCCCTATTTTCTCACTTTCTTCTACTTTCTTATTGTCTCTCCTCATGAAGGCACCAGAAACAAATATATTTATTACCTTACAAATGATAAGGCTAAAAAGGAGACTAAATACTGTAAGAAGATGTTTATTAAGAGGACAGGAGAGGAAAGATTGCTTTTAGTCCACAGAAGTTGTAAAACAGCAAAAGTAACTGAAATTATTTGTAAAAATAATTTTAAAAACTATAAGAATCTCACTCTGAATAGGTTTTCCCCCTGTGGCTGCCAATTTTCAGTCTTTTGAAATTATTGGATTTGCTACTTTCATGCAGAGATCCTTCTCATTTTTTGAGAGTAGTCCCAAAATCCCTAGATTTGCGGAAAGGTGATTTTACAATGTTTCAATAAGAAAAGTCCCTATTCAAGGAAACCAATAGACTTCTATTTCAATTATCTTCGTTCCCCACAAAACCACCACCTTTAGACTGCCATTATGCTCATATGCTGGAAGCCACAAGTAGTTGTAACAATGCAAGGAGAACCCACACTTAGCTGCAGACATTTCAGGAAACCTGCAGGCTCCTGATATGTCATTCTCCAGCTACACTAAAACTTATTGGAACAGCTGAACACAAATGGAGATCAAATTATCAGATCTTGGTCCTCACCAAAGTCAGCTTCCTATACTGGCTGTATCACTAACGTCATTTGTCTATTGAACGAGACTCTTGTTATTTTTATTCAGAACAAAAATAATGTTGTCATGTCCAAAGGCTACATTTTCCCCTTTGAAAATACTCTTTTTCGTCCTTTGCGTTTAAACAAAATCTTTTGTCTCTATTCTTTTGTGGTCTGAGGCTCCTGTATCTCAGCCAAACACTGATACATTCATTGCAGGCTTCAGCTGCTTTGCAGAACCTGAATAGACATTTGAGGCTACTTGGGGGACTTCAATTAAACACTTCTACAGGGCTGATATTTTTTGTTGAAAAACAGTGTCTTTTTGCAAGGCCAAACAAAGTGGCAATTCCAAGGATGCAAATCAGAACAAAATACTTATAAAATAATAACTGCCAAGGCAACTAATTGTAAGCATTGAGCAGAGAGTACAAAGACCCATTTACTCAGTTGTTTCCTTCTTTTACTCTACTATCATGAAATTACAAGTATCTACATTACGGCAAAGATGCATATGATTAAGTAGAATTTTAGTGAAAAATTTCCAGATTTTGATAACTAAATTACAGACTTTTTGAGAAAATGAAGTTTGTTTTCTTGGAGAATGGTAGCTATGAAAATATACAAAAGCCTTTTATTCCTACGCACATGTACGAAGTGGAAATTCTCAGTGAAATACAAGAATGCAATTCTTTTTCCTTCACCCTGCTTGTAAGACACAAATTTGGTGTAGTTCATGAAGTGCTTTAGAGCAACAAATGCTACATGCTGATGTTTCCCATCAACTACCTGAGACTACAGCAAGTGCTTTCCTTCTTTTTTTGGTCATTCTTTTTTAAATAGAACTTTTGCAACTTGCATCTATATGTACTTTTTCTTCCCCTTTTATTTCTTTTTGATAATTTCCACCTGTTTATTTGCTGAAAAGTAGAAGAGGATCTTGGGTCCTTGACTTGCTGGAGAGAATTTCCCACATGGCTTTAATTTCTTCTGCACTTCAAATTATTTGGTCCAATTCATCCTCCCCTCTTCTTTGTTTCCTTCTTCCCCTGGGCCCAGCAACCCAGCAGCAGAAGTCTTTTTGTGTGTATGCGTGTGTTTATGTGTTCTGATCTGAGCCAAATTATTGTGAATTACTCTGTCTGGCCTAGGCTATTATTAGACTAGCCAGCAACTGTAGCTCTTTTGATTATTTCAACAGCTGGTTTTGTTGCTTTACTAAAGCACAGCTCTCTCCTCCCCCTAGAAACTGCTTACCCAGATAAGGGGCTGTGTCAGGATCTGTTCCAAGACTGCTAAGGTAGATCTGCCATTGCTACTCAGGAGCACTCTGTCAGAGCCCCATCTATCTCCCACAGAATTGTTAAAGCCTCCCTCCTTCCTAGGTACCTCCATTATTTACACACCTTTATCAGGTATCAACCCAGTGATGTGTTGTTGCATTTGGCAAAAACCCCTAAAGCTGTTTATCACTTGAGAATACCAACATAAACTAGAAGTGAGGCACAGCTCACAGACAGAGCATGGATGAATGCATCTGGCAAACACTCACTAGGAAAGGATTACTTGAAAGAACTGGAAGCATTTAAAATCTAAAAAACACCTCTAAGCTTGAATACTCGTGGTGTTCCTCAGGGGTCTATATTGGGACTGGTGCTATTTAACATTGACGAGATGGACAGTGGCACTGAGTGCACCCTGAGCAGTTTACTGATGAAACTAGGCTGTGTGGTGCAGTCAACAGGCTGGAGGGAAGGGATGCCATCCAAAGGGACCCGCACAGGCTTGAGACATGGGCCTATGCAAACCTCATGAAGTTCAACAAGGCCAAGAGCAAGGTCTTGCAATCCCAAGCAAAAGTACGGGATGGGCAGAGAATGGATCAAGACTACCCTTTGGGAGAAGGACTTCAGGGTGTTGGTGGATGAGAAATTTGACATGTCTCATCAGTGTGTGCTTGCAGCCCAGAAAGCCAACTCTATCCTGGACTGCACCAAAAACAGTGTGGCCAGCAGGTCAAGGGAGGTGCTTCTCCCTCTCTACTCCACTTTAGTGAGATCCCACCTGGAGTATTGCATCCAGCTCTGGGGTCCTCAGCACCAGAGAAAGATGCAGACCTGTTAGAGCAGGTCCAGAGCAGAGCCACAAAGATGACCCAAAGGCTGAAACACCTCTCCTATGAAGACAGGCGGAGAGAGTTGGGGTTGTTCAGCATGACGAAGAGAAGGCTCTGGGGAGACCTCACTACAGCCTTCTAGTACTTTATGGAGGCTTACAAAAAGGAAAGAGAGGGATTTTTTTCCATGGGCAGACAGTGACAGGACGAGGGGGAACAGCTTTAGGCTGAAAGAGAGATATTAGGAGGAAATTCTTTAATGTGAGAGTGGTGAGACACTGAAACAGGTTGTCCAGAGAGGCTGTGAATGCCCCATCTTTGGAAGCATTAAAGGCCAGGATGGAGCCTGGATGGAGCTCTGAGTAGCTTAGTCTGGGGGAAGGTGTCCCTGCCCATGGCAGATGGGTTGATACTGGATGATTTCTAAGGTCCATTCCAACACAAACTGCATTATGGTTCTGTGACTGGTACACTGGCAGTGTGAGCATACCTACACATAACATACCTTGAAGAATTCTGTCTACTGGTAAGCCACCTCCTTTTGAAGGGATTGAGCATTATTCTTTTTTTTTTTTTGCAATAAAAATTTCAGAACTATGATTCACGTATTTTATTGAATGCTGTGACATTTTTTTGTTTCAGGTAGTACTGTTTGGAATTTGTTTCCAGTACTCTTTACTGTAATATGTTGGATATTGCTAC